TGGAGTTATCATGGACAGTTCACTGAAAACTTCCACACAGTGTGCAGCGGCGGTCAAAAAGTCAAATAGGATGCTAGGAATTATTAGGAAAGGGATAGAAAATAAGACCCAGAATATCTTACTGCCCCTGTATAAAACTATGGTACGCCCACATATTGAATACTGTGTACAGATGTGGTCTCCTCACCTCAAAAAAGATATTTTGGCCTTGGAAAGGTTCAGAAAAGGGCAACTAAAATGATCAGTGGTTTGGAACGGGTCCCATATGATGAGAGGTTAAAGTGACTGGGACTTTTCAGTTTAGAAAAGAGGAGACTGAGGGGGGATATGATAGAGGTATATAAAATCATGAGTGGTGTGGAAAGGGCCGATAAAGAAAAGTTATTTATTAGTTCCCATAATAGAAGAACTAGAGGACACCAAATGAAATTAATGGGTAGCAGGTTTAAAACTAATAAAATAAAGTTCTTCTTCACACAGCGTGTAGTCAACCTTTGGAACTCCTTGCCAGAGGAGGCTGTGAAGGCTAGGACTATAATAGAGTTTAAAGAGAAGCTCGATAATTTCATGGAGGTTAGGTCCATAAAAGGCTATTAGCCAGGGGATAAAATGGTGTCCTTGGCCTCTGTCAGAGGCTGGAGAGAGATGGCAGGAGACAAATCGCTTGATCATTGTCTTCGGTCCACCCTGTCTGGGGCACCTGGTGCTGGCCACTGTCGGCAGACAGGTTACTGGGCTAGATGGACCTTTGGTCTGACCCAGTACGGCCGTTCTTATGTTCTTATGTTCTTAAACATGGCCCTTGTAGCTGCTATGAGCAGTACAGAGCATGGAAGGCAGGGACCTTGGTTAAGGAACTTGCTGGGCTGCTGGCTAGGAGCCACCCAGTTAAAGTCTCCCAGCCAAAGCCTACCTCTAGCACCCCAGCCCTTCCCTCCCCTTTCTTTCCCCAACTCTCTGCCCCCCTTCTGTTGCCCTACCCCATGTAACTCAAAGCTTCTGCAATCCTGCTCCAGCCCCCATACATCTTCCTACACTCCCCTCCTACACTCCTCTTCAAGTCATAACCCCCTCCCAGACCTTGCATCCCAATCCACTATCCCTGGTCACAGCCCAAATCCCTGCCCCCCTCCTGCATTCATGCCCCAGGTTACAGTCCCCTCCTGTATTCCAGTTCACTGCCACACGTCACAATCCCCTCCTTTACCCAATCTCCCTGCCAGATCCCATACCCTAATCCCTTACCCCAAGCTCCCTTCTGCACCCATCCTCCACCCCAGACCCTGTACCTCCTCTGTTAATATAGTGGAAAATTCTTGAAGTGCTCTCCCTCCATCCCCCCATCAAAAATTATTGCCAATGTCTGGTGCATTAAATACTGTAGATTTTTACTTACCAAGCCCTCACTGGGCAGAATACTAGTAAGGTGAACTACTTCAAGATGTGCTGACTGAGACACCAGGGAGTCAGATGAGAGAGAGATAATGTGGTCACAGATTCCAGACAGAGTTTTACACTAGAAAAAGCAAACAAAGACAATCATAAGCACTTATGTTAAAGTAATAAACTGATGGTATTAAAAAACATTTCAAGTGCAATATTGTTTATCTTTCATCTATTTACATATATTTGATCAGCATTATATTTTAGTTCTTCCTCTTATGAGAACTCAAAGCTGAAGGTCTATATTTATCACAAAGCCAACTACAAGAAGGGCAAGGAAAATAAAAATACTATCAATGCCATAACTAGTGTTCATGAATCTATAGCACAACAGCTCAAAGCTAACTTCTTCTCAGATAATAATCTAAGAGTGTGCTTTTGAACTACATTATTCATTCAAGCTACCATCCCTAGCAAACATGTCTGATAAACTTGATTTTATGTGTTGCCATACGTGGCATTATTAAACACACTGAATTAAAGCAAAATATGCAAATATGTGCAAAACATGCAAATAGCAGTTACTTTTCTATTTTTTATCATAATTATTTTTGGCCAACAAATAAGTGTAATTTATCAAGCCATATATTTATTTAAGGTATAATTCCACAATACAAAAAATATAGTGAAGTCTTTTCTTCCCTAAAAACTACACTGACAGGTAAAATTCATGGGTCCTGCATTCTTTTCTCTAGTCTCATGAATCTCTAATGAAGATTTCATTCTAAATCATGTAAACAAAATAAGAATGATATACTGCCTTCCAATGAAGGATATGAAAGAACTTTTCAAATATGAAATAATCCTCACAGCACTCCAGTGAGGTGGGGAAGATGAGGGAAATGAGATAAAAAGATGAAGTTGTTTGTCCCAAGCCAAACAAAATGTCATCAGGAAACAGAACCCAAGGGAAATTTCCCAAATAAGGGATTTCTTCTCATGTTTTTTCATGTTTTCTAAATTTTTCTTTCAGCATACGTCTACGGTGCAGGGTTTTTCCAGGATACTGGAGGTATCCTGGAAAAACTGTGACGTGCCCAAGGAATGTGTTTACTCTTCTGCTTTTTTTTGTGAAAGAATGCTCTTTCAGGGTGCCCTGCATCCCTCGTTCTATGAGGGATAAGGGCTCCGCCGAAAGAGGAGTTTTTTTCCCACCATTTGGACGCGTCTAGACTCAGCCAAATGGCGGAAAAGCCTCTTCTGGAAAAGCAATTGGAAAAAGCTATAGTGTAAACCTAGCCTCAGACATAGTGGCTGTGTCTAGACTGCATCCCTTTTCCGTAAAAGGGATGCAAATTAGACACATCACAATTGCAAATGAAACGGGGATTTAAATCCCCCCCGCTTCATTTGCATAAACATGGCTGCCGCTTTTTTTCTGGCGTGGAGCTTTGCCGGAAAAAAGCGCCAGTCTAGACGGGGATCTTTCGGAAAATAAAGCCTTTTCTGAAAGATCCCTTATTCCTTTTTTTAAGAGGAATCTTAAGAGGAATAAGGGATCTTTCGGAAAAGGCTTTATTTTCTGAAAGATCCCGGTCTAGACTGGCGCTTTTTTCCGGCAAAGCTCTGAGCTGGAAAAAAGCGGCAGCCATGTTTATGCAAATGAAGCGGGGGGGGTTTTAATACCCCCACTTCATTTGCAATTGTGATGTGTCTAATTTGCATCCCTTTTACGGAAAAGGGATGCAGTCTAGACACAGCCAGTATGTCTAAAAATGTGTACCTAATTTGCAGTCATTTATTTAGATGTAATTCAGAATATTCCTCTGGTGGGAATTCTGTTGTATGCTTATATTTTCTTTCCGGGACCACATTGTAATTTACATTAAAAGGTGGTGAAATCCCTAAAGGAAAGTTATTCGTCATGTGTTTTCAAATACAGGTTGAATTCTACTATCCTGTTTGATGCTGCATATTTAAGTAGAAGACGCAAAGTTGTTGCAGTGAACAACTCCATTTTCTAAATATATAAGCAATGTTCAAAAGCCCTTAATATGTATTCATTTAGAAACCAGGGTAAAGCTCTGGAGTACTGGATGTTGCATTTGGATCATCCATCTGAAATATGTGCAAAATCACATGTATGCATGAAGTTCCCTATTGACCATGCATTTGAGCCTCTAGCAAATTGTCACTGAAGAAGAAGCATTTTTAAGTTGGCTTTGGGTCAGGGCCTCAAAGAGGGAATATAGGCATTATTTACTCAACCAAACATTTGTAATATACGTTACACATTAAGGCTGTGTCTAGACTGGCATGATTTTCTGCAAATGCTTTTAACGGAAAAGTTTTTCCGTTAAAAGCATTTGCGGAAAAGAGCATCTAGATTGGCACGGACGCTTTTGCGCAAAAGCACTTTTTGCGGAAAAGCGTCCGTGCTAATCTAGATGCGGTTTTGAGCAAGAAAGCCCCGATCGCCATTTTCACCATCGGGGCTTTTTAGCGCAAAACACTTTTTAGCTGTCTACACTGGCCCTCTTGCACAAATACATTTGTGCAAGAGGGCTTTTTCCCGAATGGGAGCATCATAGTATTTGCGCAAGAACACTGACAATCTTTCATTAGATCGTCAGTGTTCTTGCACAAATTCAAGTGGCTAGTGTAGACAGTTGGCAAGTCTTTCTGCAAAAGCAAGTGCTTTTGCGGAAAAACTTGCCAGCCGGGACGCAGCCTAAATGTGTTCAGATAATTTTACATCTGTATATGTGACTTGTTTATAGAATAAAAATAATCAAATCACTTCCCTTTCTTGAGATCTAAAAGTATGGCCATATGAGCCATGTGTCTATGTGACACCCTGACATGTCATTGCTGCAGTACCCCCGTTTGGAACTGAGGCCACTACTAGCCCTTAACATTTCCTTTTATGCCACATATGTAGACAGGATATTGGATGTAATTCTCATGAAATCTCTTGCATTGTTTTGAGATCTACATAAGATTTCCTCTTGACCACTACTTACTAGATTTTTTTCACTAAACAAATGTTAGAACTGAATACATGCTAGAAAAATGAGCTCAGAATCAATCAATGGAGAATTTAAACATTGGGAAAAATGTTAAAGAGCAATAAATAAAACAAGAAATACCTAGCCACTCTAAAGTAGCTCACCAGACATCAAAGAGGCCAGATGCCCATAATAAATGATGCAAAAGATGGGACTGAAAAGGATGGGACTTGTCATGTGAGAACACCCAGGAGATCACGAGAGAGCAAACAGTGCTCTGTCTGGCACTATCCATAATACAAACTGTACACACATCTGTTATGGCATGCTTTAGATAAAACAAGTAGAGATTACAGGCAAATAGAGAGGAACAAGATTTCTCAAGTTTGCTGCAATATTGTCATTTCTAAAGGGTCACCTTTCAAAACTACCTTACAAATAATATGTAAAACAAAAAAAGCAGTCATGTAGCACTTCAAAGACTAACAAGATAGTTTATTATCCTGGACCCCACAAAAGCTAATAAACTATCTTGCTAGTCTTTAAAGTGCTACATTACAGCTTTTTTTTGTTTTACCAAGATCAGACTAACACGGCTACCTCTATGTTACTATTACAAATAACAATAACCAATGATTCTATGTTCTTGTATCACATTATATCCAAGCATCACAAAACATCCACGAATGAGCCATTGTGATTGTGGAAAGTACTAACCCCATTTCAGAAAAAAACAACAAATGGTCTGGCAGTGTAACCCACACACCTAGGCTATGTCTACACTCACGGCTTCTTGCGCAAGTAATATGCAAATGAGGGTAAGCATGGAATATCACTGAACCTCATTTGAATACCTAATGAACCACCATTTTTTTCAGAAGAGGCTCTTGTGCAAGAAGGAGCGTCTACTTTGCCCCTTCTTGCGCAAGAAGAACCCTCTTGCGCAATGCTGTTCTTCTTGAAAAGTAATAGGTATTTGGTATCAGTATGTGTCTTGGTCTGGTATTAAAAATTGATACCCTGGCTTCTGTCCAGGTAATAGCATTTCCTTGAGCATTTACTTAAAGATGAGAAAACTTGGCCTTCAGGGTTATTCTATGCATGCAGGTCTCCAAGATGCTGCTCCAAAGTTCGTCTTCTGTAATCTTTCTTTTTCCATTATGCACTCACAACCAGCCATTGAACTGATCACGCCTTAGCATTTTAAAAGTTTCTCCCTCTCTTCTGTTTGTAAATATACCTCTCTTCCTCTCTGGGCTGCTTTCCAAAAATAAAAATAAAAGCACTTACACAACTTTGAAGTGCTGTTTTGAGGTTATTCCCTCTCCTTTTTCATGAGTACATTTTTATTTTTAAAGCACTTTCAGGTGAGCTTTTGGATTCCAAATTCCCTTCTCCCTTGTCTTAATTTTCTATTTTTCTTTGTATGAACAAGACAGAAGTGTAAGAAAGATGAAACAGAGCCACGATCCTCATTCCCACACACTCCATCCACCATATTGAGCCATGCAACAAACACAACGTGTAAAAAAATACCATGTGGGCAGGTTAAAAATCTGTAGCCAAGTAAATAAATTGAGTTTATCAAAACACAATCTGAATATGGTTGACTCAGTCCTCTTCCCTAATTCAGAGCACCCATGATTTTATGATTAGCATCTAAGCATAATGAGCTACACATTCAGTTCATATACGACTGATTTCATAGTTAGTTTATTTTGTTTTTGTTGGGGTGGGTTTCCAGCCCAAACTTTGCTTTGTGTTTCATTTTTAAATGAAGCAGAAAACTCCAAGAATTTCAGCTGACACCTTTGAGTTTTACTAAACTTCCACACCATTGGTAAAGAATGAAGTTTGCTTACTTCTCAGTCTGCTGGAGGTGTGTTTTTAAAACATAATATTTTGGGGGCTATACTTTCATCCAAGAAATCTAGTGAAGTAATAAAGTACAGCGATGAAGTTCAAATGGTCTGCAATCAACAGAAAACAGAATCTGAATATTTGAATATTTATGTGTATGTCACTATTTTTATATATATGATAATTCTGAGATATGGATCATGTCTTGTTTAAATACCAGAGAACTCCCATTTCATGTTTGTCCCAACTTCTCAAAAATTCCATA